GCGAAGCTCAACTTTCCGTACTGTGAACGCTAGGGGTTCTGTTATTTCATTGGCTGGCAGCATTTTGAGTTGACATATCCCTCTGAGAAGGCGTGACATAATTGTAAATCTTTGGAAGGCGAAAACTTGCACTCGTTTTTCGCGAGAATCCCTCCTCTTTAAATGAATTAATAGGACCCTAATAGGGTATGTAAAATCAACGGTTTTCCTTGAAATTTGGCCAGAACAATCACTGATAGATACGGAACAAAAACGTGTCGGCGAATTCTTTTATTTCAAATACTTTTCTCGTGGTGGTCTCTAACGAAACACGTTACGCGAATTTTTCGATACTGGAACATGATAGTTCTATAAAAAGATAACCAGTAGAAATGAAAGAAAATGCTGACATGCGTTGAGAGATTGATGCTTTGTGATTAGCACTGCATAGTTATTTTGCATCAGCGATCGCATTTGATACCCCATTAATTCGCCGGAATACAGTCGGTAGTTTTGACGTTAACGGCTTCTGCCGCCTTAGGAAAACAGTCGGCAAAAGAGAATATAATTTTACCGAATTCTACATTTTATAATCTTTCCATTGATATATAGTTTGTGGGGGTTTCCTTCAAAACAGTGCGCGTACGAATTTTTTTTTCTGGAGAGCACCCGTGGAGGTTTGAAGTAACCTTAATTTATTAAGAACTACCTGAAAATGACAAGACGATTTCCTTTATTGGCGATTTATTCATAATTATATGTGCCAGGTATGAAAGCATGTGTCAGTCAGTCAGTCAAAATGGTACTCTTAAGAGTACTGGGTTGGACCTAAACTTTGTTGAGTATCTCCCCCCCYCCCCCCCCCCACCAACCCCATCTCCCCCCAGGTAGATGGCCGAGTGAAAGGGGGGGCTTGGAACCAATGGTCGGTACACAAAGTTTGTGGGCATGATTACCAGGCATTGCTCTCCAAAATTGCCCGACTTTCCCTAATAATATATTATGAATTCCCTGACCAAATAAATACAAAACATCAGATACAGCAACAACTACCAGTCTCCCCCTAACAGCAATCCTTTCAACTCATTCATCCAGACTGACAAATGTTTCTTCTTTCAGTTTTCTCTGACTTTTCTTCAAAATGTCTAAATTTTCCCTTGCTCAAAATAAAATGCTGACTTTTCCCAGACGTTGAAATTTGTGCATCCTCAAAGTTACAATGTTTGGGGTAAAAGAGAAACAGTTATGGACAAAAATTATTAAATTTGCAAGAGAGAGAAAAGTGGAGCCTTAATGCTAATTACTGTTCATAAAATGTACAACAAAATAAAAATTCACTCAACATTCATGAAAACCTCTTTTATTGTTAGCTTTAGCAAACAGCACACTATTGAACTGGTTCTTTTATTATGAAACTATACGATAACCAGTGTTCTGCATATAACTTATTCTTTTACTGTTTTTACTGACGCAAATCGTGATCAGCCTTTGCAAGACCCAAAGCGGTGTTAAGCTGCTTTCCTTTCAGGCTTCCCCAGACCACGTGATCACTAAGACCCAGGATCTGGGCAGCAGCCAAAGCTGCACCATCGGGGTTGAGTGTTGTGGTGCAACCCAAGCCAGATGGTAGCCGTAGAGAAGACCAGATATCTTGAGCACCCCACTGGGATGACACTGGAGGGCAGTTGATCACTGGGAAAGCTGTATTGCCAGACAGGACTGGTCCAAGGCCATTACTGCGACCAGCAACTGCAACAATTACCAGAGGCATGCCTTGGCCTTCATACCATCGCAGGACCTGAAGGGCATCTTCAGTACCCTTGTGCGCTGAGCAGATGCGAAGATCTGCAGGAACACCAAACTCCTTCAGTGCAGACTCAATTTTCTTACAGTGGTCCATGTCACTCGGGGATCCCATGAAGACAACAGCATGGCCTGGGTGGTGCTTGTTCAGTTTCTGAACTTCTTTGGCCACCCAGTCGTAATTCTTTTTGACTTGTTCCAGTGCTTCTGGGGTAACTTCAGGAAGATTCCTGTACACTTGCTTGTCACGCATCAGACGCTTGTCCCCAGATGGCCAGATTCTCCAGGAGTCATTGTCTATGACATCAGCCAGGAGCAGTTCACCAGTCTTGTGGTTGAACCCAAACTCCACCTTCATGTCCACAAGTGCAACATCCACAGTTGCCCAGGCTTTTTCTAGGATCTCAAAAACTGCCACCGCTGTCTCTCCCATGATGTTGAGCTCGTGCTTACCAACCTTGCGGCCGCCAGCAGTCAGCTCTGCCTCCACACACTCTTCGTAAGTCCAGAATGGATCATGCTGAGCATCATCTTTGAAGAACATCTCCAGCTTAACAGGTGCAAATCTGTATCCTTCCTTGATTCCAGTGTACCTCTTCAAGAATGAGCCTGTAGCAATGCGACGAGTCACCACCTCAAGCAGGATCATATCACAGTTAACGCCGATGAAAGATTCGTCATCGTACTTTCTCACAAAGTGCGTCTTGATGCCGCAAGTGTTGAGCAGCTCAAACACAGCAGAGGTTGTGGCATTGCTGAACTTTGCTTTGCCGACAAGGTCATTCTTTCTGGTGCTGTCAAATGCGGTGATTTTGTCCTTGGATTTTAACAGCACATGATTACCATCTGGTGAGTCAGGCAAAGCGTAAATTATCTTGGTTTTACCCTCATTCAGCTGCTGGCCAATCTTGATGTCTGAAAATGTTACAAAAAAGAAGATTGAGTACAAATACATTAGACACTGGTAACTACAAGAAAATGCTGCAGTCTGACTGGTTGATCTATTTCACACCATCAGCCACTTGTGTGCAGTAACTGGAGGTCACCTACAAAATGATAGCAATTTCTTGCTTCTTCAAAGTGCTGGAGGAAGATTTAGAGTACTGGATAATAAAATTATAGAGAAGACTTCAGGGAAGACATTGTCACCATTTCATGACTTTGAATTCTCACAACTGCTCAATTAAGTCATGAATTTTTGTACACAGTTACAATGGGAACTTAGTTCATCAGTCATTTTGCTAATAAAGCATGAAGAAAAATACTAATTATAATTAGGTAGAAATTCTAAGCTTATTAAATTATTGTTCAATGGAAATTGAATATGCTAATCTATAATTGAAAATCATTCAAGAGGTCACTAATTCTTGTTCCTTGATACTTATCTAGTTATAGGAGCTGGTTATTAATGGCATATTATAACTGAAAATTTCGTTGTTTAGAAGTTACTCGATTTTTGGCCAGTATTTAGGATAGATATTTTTGCAACTGCAGGTTGCATAACATCTTTTCTCTATATTTATTGTTTGTATTCCTTCACATTGTTGAGCTGGTTTAGCTTTTTTGTGTATATGAATAAATTATTGTTGTTGTTGTTGTCTTAAAAGATATATTAAGGGCTTCAAAAAGTCAAAAATTTTAGTAGAACTATTCACGATATTAACTATGGAGTACTCTTTGTTGAATTTTTTTATGGATTGGAGTGGGGTGGGAAACTGATAATTATTATCTGGGATTTTTTTCTCAAGGGTGCCCCTGATCTTCCGAGCACATGGCTGCACTCCTGGGGGTCTAGATCTGTGTCACTTTAAAAACAAGCGATACAAAGTCATCGAGAAAACCAGCATGACCAAAATACAAAATAAGTTTGTTCCCAACGTGATATTTTGGTTGTAGCAATGAGTGGGAACGAGTAAAATCACTTGCAAATGTGTTACGTGATCTGGATAAATGATCTCGCCCTGTCACATTGTTCTGCACGAAAGTCAAATTAGCTTACAAAATTATTTCTCGTGGAGTCCCAAGGAAGACCCTTGACTACTATTGAGTAAAATCGAAACAGAAAACCTCGTGTAAAAATTCGGGCTAACGAAGTGACGACTCCACTCTTAGGTGAAAATCTAAGTTACATGAGCAGCACATTTCCTAAATTTTAGGTCGTCATAACTGAATTTCGTTTTGGCAGTGAATAAATGTGAAAATCTGGACTACAAACGTTCATTTAACCTACCTGAGGCTGGTTTCTGTTCGGCCATTGGACGAAATTATGAAGATTCAGTAAGACACAAGTTTCGTCCCTGAGAGTTAGAGATAAGTCGCCACGTGAGTGCTCGGGGCTTCAACTTTCATTCAGGAGATAACATGTGATCCACCCACAGCCAATCACAAAGCCGAGCTTAATCGGTATTTCCCGCCAGCTAATAGAACATCCAATCAGAACACATTTCCCGCCAACTCGAATTCAAATTTTCTGTCGAGACTCCTTTGATTTCCCCCGGCGTTTTCAAATGAATAGTTGTAAGTTCTTAGCGAGCGATCTCTGCGAACAGGAAGTTTAACTGATCGATTCCTTGAAGTATGTAATCTTCTTAATTTTCTTCATATTGGACCACACTATACACCTGTGACACCTGCGGTAGTATATAGAGATCGATCCAAGCGTCGGAGACCATTGTCAAGATGGCGTCTGAGGAAACTGGACTAACACATGCTTGTGGTGTTTTTGCGTGTATAAGAGCCGATGGAGTTTCTTCAGCAGAGGTTGATGTTGCTAGTATAATCTCCCTTGGGTTAGTTTCCCTTCAACATCGGTAAGTTCTTTGAATTTTGGATTTAACTTCGAAAAGTTTGAGTTGAGTTGAATGAAGTCTGTGTATTGGGCAATTTTTAATACGGTATTTATAAGCTTAAACGTCGTCGCTTCGAGGTTATTGTTATTTATTGTTGAATTTATTATAAGTTCAAGCTTACAGATCCGCTGAGACCACCCATTGACAGACAAAATCAAGTTTTGTTGTCTCGTAAACGTTTTGCTCAACAAGCGCCGCATGTAGAGTCGCTTTATTTTCCTTTCACTCTGAAGCATGGTGAGTCGAATATGGTAACAACTTCCCGTGCGTAGGCGCCTAAACACCATCGAACAGAGTAGTAATTCATTAATATTTCATACAGATGTTTCGTGAATTCATTGACCTGACCTAAATAATTAGGAATGCCTAAGCAATACTTCAAATCACCCACGGTAACGAAATTTTGTCTAAATCTGCTGTAAATTTAATTACTTGTGGCACTTCTAATTAAACCTTATATTTGTCTATTTTTAATATTACTTAATTGTTTAGAGTTGACAGTTATAATCTTGCAGCAAATGGCAGTATTTTTATATTGGTATTAACAGTATTAAATATCATACCTGGTTTATGAAATATAAACCAATCAGATTTCAAGCATTTTCAGGGACAAAAAAGATAATGTTCAAATACTAATCACATGGCTCAAAGTTAATTAATGTTCACGGCATCTTTCAGTCTAACGTTTTTAGGGTCTAAGTGTGCATTCCTTTGGAAAGATCCAGATCAGGATTTACGATTCAAGATCACTCAGATCATGGTGCTTCAAAGAGATCGATGAATCTACTCTGGACAAGGATTCATCAGTTTGTGTGACATACATGTGCCATGATCCAAATAATCACATTCCAAATCATGCAATGGGAACACACCCTAAGGGCAGGATGTATATTTACCCTCAGACAAAATGTTGTTAATAACTTGTTAAGCAGTCTTTTAGAACATTTAAATCGGTCTCATAAGGCCGTATGAATTGCATCCCATGGTGCGACAAGGACTAATGATGACGATGAAACCAGTGTCACGCAATCAAGAACAACAAACTTCCATACCGTCAGACATATAAAATTGCTCACTGAAAATTAATGATTAGCATGTCAAAGTCCTTTTCAAAACATATTCAAACAATTCATATGCTTTTTGACACAACTGCCAAAATACAAAGGACTCTCAAAGATTGGTCAAGCCAAAGTCAGGATAAAATTCTGGCAAGCGACATGGCATCAAAACAGCAACATAATTGGGGTTGAAATTCTGACAGGGATGTTCAGACCTTCTAAATTTGTAACTTGATAAGGTTTGAAATTGAGACAGGGGTTGTCATTACTACCCCCTGCCCCCAAACAGGTCTCATTAATTATTCTACTGCTGGAAATACTTTATGACAACCATACCCTGCATTCTGATTTTCATAGACTGTCTAGCTTCTTCTTTGTTGTTGTCAAAACAGGTCTAGCTTTCCCTCCCCCCAAGAGCAGTTCATTACTTATCACTAGTGGATTTTTTGTTTTCTTTGTCTCAAACTTCCAGTAGTTAATAGTGATTTTTATGAATATCACTTTTTTTTTCTAAAGGGGTCAAGAGAGTGCAGGAATAGTGACCAATGATGGTAAAAGGTTTCACCAGCACAAAGGAATGGGATTAGTGAACTATGTGTTTCAAGAACAGCACATCAAATCCCTGCCAGGTCATATGGGTATTGGACATACGCGCTACTCAACAGCTGGATCATCTGAACTTGTCAACTGTCAGCCATTTGTTGTGGACACCATACATGGACACATGGCAGTGGGACACAATGGTGAACTTGTCAATGCAAAGGCATTAAGAAAAAAGGTTCTCTTACAAGGAACTGGTCTCTCAACTGGAAGTGATAGTGAGGTAATCACACAGCTGTTGACAGCTACTCCGCCATGTGGAGAACCAGATGGCCCTAACTGGACAGGAAGAATTTATGAAATGATGCAGCTGACGCAGTTGGCATACTCGCTTGTCATCATGACACAGGACTGCATCTATGCTGTCAGGGACCCTCATGGCAATCGTCCTTTGTGTATTGGCAGACTAATGAGTTTAAATGAGAGCCCTCAGTTGTCACGTCTCGGTGGAGAAATTGTCGAGAATGGAGAAATCTCTGATGATGATAGCACACTAGGGTGGATCGTGTCTTCGGAGTCTTGTGGCTTTCATTCATTTGGAGCTTCCATGTGTAGAGAAGTGAAGCCTGGCGAGATTGTGAAGTTGACCACAAATGGTTTCAAGTCCATGAGGATAGTGTCTCTTGAAAACCCAGAGAAGCCTCCCTCATTCTGCATCTTTGAATATGTGTACTTTGCACGGCCGGACAGCATGTTTGAGGGACAGATGGTTTACAGTGTGCGGCAACGATGTGGGGAGCAGTTAGCCATAGAAGCGCCAGTCGAAGCAGAACTAGTGAGCACAGTCCCAGAGTCTGCAACCCCAGCAGCCCTGGGGTACTCCTTACAAACTGGCATTCCTTACGTCGAAGTCCTCACCAAAAATCGTTACGTTGGACGCACATTCATTCAACCAAGCAACAGGCTTCGGAAGCTTGGTGTTGCCAGGAAATTTGGTCCTCTGTCAATGAATTTTAAAGGAAAGAGAGTTGTACTTGTTGATGATTCTATTGTGCGTGGAAATACAATGGGTCCCATTATTAAGCTTTTGAAGCAGGCTGGTGCTGGAGAGGTGGGTCCCAATTTAAATATCGTAAGCTAAGCTGAAATGTAGTCTACAAAAACAGCCCCAGCTCATTTAATTTCAGATGTAGAAAGACTCTTTCTTTTTTAGAAATGGCAATGCCGGGAGCTACGAGAGGTATTGACTCAGGCTAGATAAAATTTAAACTATTAATAGCAGTGCGAAAAGTTGAAATCCACCAGCCCAGTGGNTTAAATATCGTAAGCTAAGCTGAAATGTAGTCTACAAAAACGGCCCCAGCTCAGTTAATTTCAGATGCAGAAAGACTCTTTCTGTTTTAGAAATGGCAATGCCGGGAGCTACGAGAGGTATTGACTCAGGCTAGATAAAATTTAAACTATTAATAGCAGCGCGAAAAGTTGAAATCCACCAGCCCAGTGGGCCAGTAAATTCACTTTTCACTCGCTTGTCCCCACTTAAATATTACCTGCCAATATGAGAGCCAATATTTCAATCAGACCCACAAGACTACTGAAGATAAAAAACAGCACACAATCTACTACAAGAACTGGGTTCCAATCTTGCCTGGTCAATTAATTGTGTACTTGAAGGGCCATGTAATAATGTATTTGTTTGTTTCCTATTTACTAGGTGCACATTCGAGTGGCTTCACCCCCAGTTAAGTATCCCTGTTATATGGGAATCAATATTCCCACAAGAGAGGAGCTGATTGCAAACAAGTTGAATGCAGATGCACTAGCAAAGGAGTTAGGGGCAGACAGCCTGGTGTACCTGAGTTTAGAAGGCTTAAAGACAGCTGTGCAGTCGGGCATACCTAATCCTGCTGGGAAAAAGACTGGGCACTGTACTGCATGTTTGAATGGACAGTACCCTGTTGATCTGCTGGACTGGTGAATTGAAAACTATTGTAATCACTAAATATGAATATTTTGATACTAAACCCACCATTGAGGTTAAATTTAGAACTGAGATGCTTTTAATTATTAATTTATAGTTATAAAATGTGGTTATGACTAGACAGTCAGATGTTGTTACCAGCAAGAGTGCTCAAGTACTTTCCCCTTTTGTATACTTCATGCAAAACAATAACAAGTTATTTATTAAGTGAGAACATATTTTTTCCTTTCTGAGAAGAAGTACAGTTATATTAAATTTTGGTTTAAGTTCCATCTGTAACAATTGATAGATGCTTAATTTATAAGTTTTGTACAAAGGTTGCTAAATTATATACATTTTAAGTTAGACTGTATCAGTTGGTGGGGACAATGACAAACAGTACATTTCTCTGGGATGATCCAGGACCAATGTTATGATCCAAGATCACCTATGGTGCATCAGAGGAGCCAGTGAAAGGTTTCTTTGAAACATTATAATCTGAGTGAACTTGGATCATAAATATTGTCATCTGGACCTTCCCAAAGGAATGCACTCAAGTATACTCCAGTGACAGTCCAACTGTCCATTAGGGTGTGGTTTCCATTAGTGCAGGTTTCACTGTACTGATTGCATGAGAAAACTCATGACAGGAAGTCAGGAACTCTTCATCTTCTTTTTACCCAGATTTGAAATTGCTCCTAAGCCAAACCAATTGTGTGCAAATTTTTTTACCATGTTTTCAACGAAAGATTGACGCTTTATGAACCATTAGATACTAAGTCATAATAAGGAAAATTGTTTAATGTGTGTTTACCATATGTTTCTTACTATGAGAATTTTTACAAAACCAGTTTCATGGAGGGGTGGCGAATGGTCCCTCAAAAACTCTAGGCCTTGCAAAATTTTAGTAGAATTTCATGGCTCTTGTAGTCTCCTTTGTTGTGGTTATCTGCATATCATAGTCTTGATTTTTAAACAAAGCTGTCACAGTCTAAGGCTAAGCAAAAATGAAGTACCAAACTCTTGATTCAGTTTGGTTGTTTGTTTGTTTGTTTGTTTTTGTGAAATGACATCTTTTAGTGTATTGATAATAAAACAGACTTTACGATTTCTGAGGAAAGCTTAATCGTAAATCCTCTTAAATTGAATTAAGCAAGCCACAATAGCTCACAATGAAACCTTGTGGAGCTGTGTAATAATAGGCGATTAACATGATGGCATCATTTGACTACAGCTACCAGAATCCTTCACTCTGTCTGCCTGTTATGCTAATTAGAGCAATTGTTCTTTAAACCCCACTGGGACTTTAAAATTTCAATAATAAAGAAAAGACAAAAGGAATTCTGGTAGTTGTAATCAAATGACAGCAACATGCAAATCTGCTATTATTAACTGTTGACAGTTTTTCAGATTTGACATCTTGTACAAGCATTTACAACTGAAGGCTCCCTACATACATGTGTGTTTCATATATATACAACAAAGTATACAGTAAATAAATTCAAAAAGGGAGACTCAGAACATCTCAAGCTTGCACTAAAACACTTTTGAGGTCTTGGTCTCAGAATTTCACAAGTCAAAATGTCTCGGACTCCAGAAGAAAAATGCTTGCTTCACCTTCTCGCGACATCTTGCATTCACCATCCGCCACCCCTTCATACTATAATTTGTATTCTTTCAACTTCTTTCAACTTTGTAAGCTTGTTGCCATGGCAGTGGCTCAGGATGCAAGAAGGTGGCATAGTTTATTCAGGAGGATGTAAGAAGCTACCCAGTTGATATAACAGATTCTCCTGAGGGTAATAGTATGTTTGTTAGCCGTAAAGGAGAATTTCAAATTGCTGGCCATTTCTTTGGTTGGGATTTAAATGGTGTTGAACCCTCAACTGAACTCTTTATTTTTGAATGTATTGATTGTGTGAGATCAAACTGAATAATAAAGAAATGCTGTGGATTGCTTCTAAGCATTATTTTATAAATTCAATTCACTCTCTCTCAGGATGCAGTGTTAAGTCTCCAGTAAACACATAACAGGCCCTTGGTACAATGCTGCTACAATAGGGGGGTGGGGCTCCCAGAGAGAAATTTAACTCCCACATAGAAAGGACCGGGGTACTTGTGGTACCTTTTAGGGGTTAAAAACACGGTTTTGGTATTTAGGGTGTTCAGCCTCAAAAAGTCCATAGCTGGAGCTTTAACAATACCTTTTAGGGTATTGAGCTGAAAAAAAAAAATGACAGGAGATTGTCTTGTTTTAGAATTGGCACCTCCTAAGGGTTAAAACCATTTAAAGTAATGCCCACAAAACAGGATCTTAAGACCTCTCAGGGTTATTTTCAGAATTTCTGACAAGCACCCCCATCTTTTCTATATGGTATAGAAACTGATATCTTAGATATCTTAGTATAAAAACTGACAGAAATGCAGATTTTATTTTTTAACACCATTCCGTTTATCACTAGAATCAGCAGCATTTTATCACATTAGTCTGCTAGGCAGCACTCTTTCAGTATTGACAAAAGATATTGAACAATCCCTGTCATTAAATACCATATCTCATTTTGGATGCCACTTTTCTAAGTAATATGACTTACTGCCATAAGAAATCCTTATTACAATCAAGTCCAAGTTGCAGCTGTCTTTGTTGAGGTCACATTTACATCTCACACTTTTAAATAAGAATCAAGAACAGTTGTTTATTACAAGGGGCAATATTATTAGTCATTGTGTATGTTTTAATTTGCAATGTGTTCAAACTAACCTCAATGCATTTAAGAGTAAGCTGGCTCTCAGAGGGTTCCTCTTTGGTGGCAAAGTAAAGATTGTGGCAAGGAAAACAGTTAATTGATGACCTCACTTGAGTTCAAATTTTGAACTCAGTGGCTGATTGGTTTTTGGTAGTTAGTACCGTATTTTTAGCATCTTTGCTCCCTGTGTATCATGCTTTAGTTGTCTCACAGCTTCTCACGAAAAAGAGAAAAAGAACCTCTGGCACCCAGGGTAATTCAAGAGTTGCAGCATTTACAGATGTTTGTATGCCTTTGCCAGGAGCTGCCACACTAATATTAAAGTGGTGGTGAAAACTCATCACTTTTCAAAAGAAAAAGAACCATTCAATTTCCAGCATAATGTGTTGTTCCAGAAAATATCCATACCTTGCCCATGGAAGGTTTCCTCATTCTGGTTTAGCTTCAATTCAACTTCCCTTTTAAAAATTTTGGTCTTTGAACCCCCCTCCCCCTCCCTGTAGGAATTTCCATTAACCTTGCCTGGGGTGGGTGTGGATGTTTTCTGGAACTGCACAATCCAATCATATTTCTACACAGATAGAAAGTGCAATTTATTCATCCATACTTTTCCAGACTAATTTTCTTTGGAAAATTTGGGTAGGCATTGAGACTAAAGAACATTGCTGGAAACAGACTGCCTTTTTGCAGATATCGAAAACTTGTCGGTCCACCATGACTTCGCTCATTATAATCCTAATAATAATAGATTTTAAGGAAAACGACCAATTTTTTAAGTTTAAAAGACATGTTTCGGCAGAACTTCTGTTGTTACTATTTGTCTTAATTAGCATTTTTGTCTACTTATTATTCAACTTGCTTTGTAATCATTCCTTCAACTGAAGATGACAGAAGTTCTGTCGAAACATGTCTTTTAAACTTAAAAAATTGGTCGTTTTCCTTAAAATTTTTACGTGTCTGCTGCTATCTAGACCTTTTGGAATTATAGATTTACAGTATCATTATTTTCATTATATTTGGTTGAAAACTATTAACACCATATGGTGTGACATCAAATAATTCTGACTTTGCAAAATTAATGTACTCTATACAAAATTATACCACACTTCAATACAAAATACTCTTCAAAACATTTACAACTCTGTTAATTCATACCTGTATATAAATAATACTTCTCACTAATTGTTTTGGGGTTTTTTGCCACCTAGTTGTAAGGGTAACAAACTGTTCAATAAACAACAGTAACTATGTAAATTCCTACAAGTCCCACAATCTTAA